CGAGCCCGGGACTGGGCTCAGGGGCAGGAGCCGCCGGCGGCGGCGGCGGTGGTGGCGAGGGGCTACCGTTCCGCCGGGGCATCCGTCTGCTGGACAGCGGCTCCGTGGAGAATGTGCTGCAAGTCGGTAGGTGCTCGCTTGACTCCTCTCGGGTCCCTCGCTTCCTCTTCCGCAGGTGCCTTCTCTTTGCACAAGCCCTGGGCCAAGACCCCGGCTTTCTGCCCAACTCCTGTTCTCCCGTGAAAGGACAAACTAGTCACATAAAAAACTTTTCTTAACATTTCGTTCAGGTCCACTGCTGCTCTTTCCTCCACCAGCCCAGTGCCCGCTTTTCTTTTTGTTTGAAGAGCGAATAGATCTCTTTTTTACTCTTCGTTCTACACCCCAGGCCAAGGCAAGAAGGATGGGGAGGTATGGCTTTCTGGATGTAATAATTTCTGAAATGCGTTTTTCTAATTTAAGTTTAGAGAGGAGAGAATTGTTAGGGAATCTGGAGCAAGCGGTCTTGCAGGGAATGTTTGAGGGACAGGCTGTCAATCTAGTCTTTGCAGATTGAAGCTGGGTATAATTAACTTTAAAAATGGAAAAAATCAACAAAATACTGTGCATTTCAGACAATTTTAATTACCTGCTTTAATATTTCCCACCCTGGACCAGTGATACTTGGGAATCTAGGCTGTGGACTTAACAATAACCGAAGATGGAAATGTGACAGCTTCTCTTTTCCACACTCCCACCCAAGGAAAAAAAAAAGGCACAATCTGGAGTGGGGGTGGGGTCTATCTTCCTTGTCAGACTGGGGTAAATCAAAAGCTGGTCACATTGGGTTTTTCAAATGCTTCTCATTTAACAAGTCTTCATATTTGCTTTTGTTTTATCTTTTTGTTTGTGGGAAAATGAAAAGGATTTCTTTCTCTTGTACTCCTCCAGAGCTTCTAGTCAGTTTGTTCATCTTATTAAATATACAAATACAGTAGTCCTGATTTGTGGAATGGTTAGGAAGAAAGGGAAAAAAATGACATTGTTTAACATTGACTTGCTGTGTGGGAAATTAAAACACTGATTTTTTTTTCTATTTGGACTGTTATAGCATTTTGGAAGTGCATCTTATCTTTATGCATTTTACTGTACAGTATATGCTCATATTTATTGAAAAAATATTGATTTTTGAAAGGAGTTGGAGACAGGTTGTTTTTAGAATTAAACAAGCACAGGAACACACATACACAGGAACCCTAGACATCTAGCTGTCTTCTCCCCAGGTAAAACTGACATATTTGAAATTTTCTTTTCATTTTAAGAGTAGTACATTGTGGTGTTTCATATAAGGTAGTCTACTTCTGATTATTGAGAGTCACTGAACCCTGTGTTTCTTTTTAAAACAACATATACCACAATTTGTTTTGCAAATGTGAAGTGTAAATATATCTAAATTTATCCTGTGTCAGAATATAGTGACAGTAAGCTGAGAAAGTTTTGTTTATTTGAGGCTAGTCCTTTGTGTGTTTGTGTGTATTTTTGAAATAATTAATTGAATAATCAGATAATTAAGGTGTACAGCTTTAATACTGAAAACATGAAAATGAATATAGGCATTTCTTTATTCGTCTGTAGACCTTATTCTTTGTATGAGTTTCTGTCAGTTAACTTTTAAGATTCTTGTTTAAAATATTTTGAATTGAAAAGTGTCCATTTAAGTGGTCATCTTATAGTAAGAAATATTGGGTTTGAAAGAATTTTCAAACTTTGGGGGGGCAGATGAGAGAGAGGAAGAGTTTTAAAGAGGTATATATTTTGAAAGTGACTGTAATGTCAAGTTACAAATGAAATCAGATTTTGTGGGTGATCCAGGTCATGTTTAAATCAGATATTTTTCTTTTATAATAAGATAGTTGGCATGCTTATTAGGGTGATGAGCTCTTGTATGATAGTTTTAGGGACTGGAGAAAGGACATATTTAAGCATATTTTCTGACTCTTACTTTGAATTTCATAGATGAAGGTAGGAGAATGAATTAATCACTTTTAAGTAATGCTATTTGAGAACCATGAGCTGTGTAATCTTTATTTTTCTGACTTTAATTTATGCTAGTAAGTGTGGAAGAGAAGGATATTCCATTCTTTATCATTCTGAGTTCTGTATCTTGGCATGAACCATCTTTTAATATGTAAAGTTAGAGACCCATCCCTCATCTCTTAAACCTAAAATGTGAGTATGTGACTTAATCTAGATGATAGGTTTTATAAAAGTATTGCCAAGAGATGAGTGAAAAAGTGATTTGTATGTAGCAAGATGGTAGTCATGTTCTTCACTTTATAACTTCACTTCAAACTCAATATAATTACTCAGTGGTATTAATAAAAATTCTACATATTTCCTTACTGTGTCCAAGCCATAGTTGTAACCTCAGAATTGGGAAGTTACTAAAGGCTGATACTTTAGGAAGGAAGGGATGTTAGGTTATTTCTATAACAACATCTTTTAAAGAAAAGATTCATAAGGGGATTTAAATAAGGAAAACAAGAATACCTTAAAATAAATAAATAAATTTAAAAATAAAGCGAACAGCACAACACAAAATTTGAAGGAAAAAAAATTAGACAACAACAAAAACTTGTACAAAGTGTAGGTATATTAAATTCGGTAACTTCTGATTACTTTCCATGTGGAATCTGGTAATAGGGAGTCATGGCCTGGTTGAAAAGCAAATGCTCTGTAGAAAACATCAGATTTTGTATCAGAACTAAAACTTTCCCAGCTTGATGTAAGCAAATGGGAGGACTAGGTTGTTATGGTCAAAGGATACATTTCTTTTCCATGACAGTACTGAATCAGAAGTATTGTTCCTTTTAAAAAGGGAAAATTGTAAATTAGTGTTTTCATGGACGTCTGTAAGTTTGAAGCTCTGTGAATAGACTTTTCTGATCTCTCAGTATTATGAGGGTAATAGAGTTCAGATGTTTTAAGCATCTGCATTTTTAACCTGTTTAAGAAGCCCATGGAAATAGTGGTAGTATAAACCTTGGGAAAATACTTACTCAGGAATCTGCAGATGGTATAAGAATGGTACAACTATAATTTACTAATAATTTTAAGATGTTGACCCTTTTTTGCTATCCATCATATTTTAAATGGATTTCTCTGTGTTTGGTAAAACTTAAAGGAGGTTTGTGTCTTCTCAGGGAAATCTGAATTGATTGAGGGAAAAGAAGCATTAACAGTTTTTCTCTTGTATGCAGAAATATTATATTTATTTGAATATTTAGATTTTCAAAAATTGGGTAAAGGCATACAGGGTCCTTCAGTGCTGGTATTCCTTAATTATATAAATATCCAGAAATTATCATAGATTCTGACAGTTGAGCCCCATATTTTTAGCCTACATGTTTTCTAATAAACACATAATTTGTATGTGGATAGTCTTCAAGACTAGAGCCACAATGCTAAGTACTACTTTATGTGGAAGAAGTGTAATTACAAAGTTGATAATAATAAAAAGGTCCACTTCAGGAAGTTATCCATAGCTTAAACATTAACTAGTAAGTTTATAATTATGAGCATGTATATATTATCAATAAACATCTATGAAATTTTTCTATAATACAAACTTTTGTGAAATACAGCAGTAACAAGTATTACAGGTATTGCTTTTTATATATAATTTGTTTTTAATCTCTATTATTTAGGGGAACAAAAGATATCCTCATCTAAAAAGCTTTATAGCATTGTGTGTAAGTTAGAATAGATATAAAATCATAATAAAATTTCCATGTGCGGAAAAATGACTTACTTATATGTGAGGTATTCCAGCAGGGAAAGCAGCTGCATACCTTTAAGGATAAGTGGTAACATTTTTTAGAGTAGAAACTTACCAAGTTTTAAAATCACATTGCTCTTTTATTTTATTTTTTTGATCAATGAATTCTCTCCTTCCTCCTCCACCACAGTGCCTCACACACACATCTTAATATTTAGTAAATGTTTGTTAATTTCCAAAATATACAAACAGCTCAATAGCAAAAAAAAAAAAAAAGCCCAGTCAAAAAATGGGCAGAAGACCTAAATAAACATTTCTCCAAAGAAGACATACAGATGGCCAACAGGCACATGAAAAGATGCTCAATATCGGTAATTATTAGAGAAATGCAAATGAAAGCTACAATGAGGTATCACCTCACACCAGTCAGAATGGCCATAATTAAAAAGTCTACAAATAATAAATGCTGGAGAGGCTCTGAAGAGAAAGGAACCCTCTTACACTATTGGTGGGAATGTAAATTGGTGCAGCCACTAGGGAGAACAGTATGGAGGTTCCTTAAAAAACTAAAAACAGAGCTGCCATATGATCCAGCAATCCAACTCCTGGGCATATATCCAGAGAGAACTCTAATATGAAAAGATACATGCACCCAATGTCCATAGCAGCACCTTTTACAATAGCCAAGACATGGAAGCAACCTAAATGTCCATAAAAAAGCATGAAATAATGCCATTTGCAGCAACATGGATGGACCTAGAGATTATCATACTAAGTGAAGTAAGTCAGACAGAGAAAGACAAATATCATATGATTTCACTTATATGTGGAATCTGAAAAAATGATACAAATGAACTTATTTACAAAACTGAAATAGACTCACAGACATAGAAAACAAACTTACGGTTACCAAAAGGGATAGTGGGGGTTGGGGGGAGAGATAAATTAGGAGTTTGGGGTTAACATTACAGACTACTGTATATAAAGTTGGTAGACAATGAGGACCTCCTGTAATAGCACAGGGAACTATATACAATATCTTGTAATAACCTATAATGGAAGAGAATATGAAAAAGAATATATATGTTTGTGTGTATAACTGAATTGCTTTGCTGTACACTTGAAACCAACATAACATTGTAAATTAAGTATACTTTGGTAAAAAAAAGTTTGTTGAATAGTGAATGTTTAGAATTTTAAAAACAGACTTCTCAGTATTCTAAAGCTAAGAGAGAGAGACATGAATTTTTATAATGAGTGCAGTGTTAGAAGACATGGGGAAAACTCCATACTTGCGCATATAATAAGCTGATAACAGTAAGTGGTATGAACGTTGCAACAGTGTGTATCTTTTATGTTGACTGTTTTA